GCATGAATGGAGCGGCATTTGGAACGGGCCATAGAACACACTACATGTACATTGCAGCATTCTCAAATTAGATAGAAAAGAACATCTGGTTTGACTGTAAATTGTATAAAGTACGGCAAAAGATATACTATACTCATGATGTACAGTGTTGCTCTATATAGAGGTCGACATAGTCTCTGATTATTGTCTGTTTGTTATTGTCTGGCAAAGTTTTTGGCAAGCATGATGTCATACATGTTTAACAAAGATTCCCAGGCATGCTGCAGTGAAATATTGCATTTGATGATTTGTTTTACTATTTCAGGTTCATTGTGACACTCCAAAAGAAACATGCAGAGAGTGGAACAGAACAAGAGAGAAAAGATATAATGATGACATGTAAGTACTTCAAAAATTTGATCTGCTACACTGTCACATATCGTCAATTCTGTGCCATCAAATCAAAAGCAAGCTGTTGGTCATTGCATTTAGATTAGATGCATTGGTGATGAGATTTGAGCCTCCAGAGTCAAGAAACAGATGGGATTCCCCTCTGTTTGTTATTCAGGTATTCTAAATAAGTAAGATTTTATGCATGCAAGAATTTACAAAATTGATACCTCTACTTGTTAAGCTATATGTATGTTCTTACGAGTAGAAGGTATAATTATTATTAAAATGTTTCCATGTTTTTGTCAAGTTTTAGTATAAAATCTACTAGCATTCTATCACAAATGCCGTTCCATCTGTTTTGTTGTAGATAGTGATTACTGAAGTAGTGTTCGCTTGTTAACAAAATGACGGTTGTTTCCTTTGTGTTTTCGAGGTGTCTATGAAAAGGATTTAGTTTTGAATGACTAGTAGATTTATACTAAAATAATTACATGCAGATTATTTGCTCTCGATTTCTATGTGTGATAGTTGGTTTGGGCTGTGCCCTCATCAACTATTTTGCAATAGAAATCTCAAGCTCGTTATCTAATTGTTTAATAGAAACATGAATGGAAGTTTGTGAGAACAGTGGGTTTAAAAGGGTTAATTCAAATTCATTTGCTGGTGATATATTTTATTTCTTTTATTACTTAGGTGGGCGACAACCTTCCTTTCGACTCTATATATGATTCACTGATTAACAGAATACCGCCTCCACCAAATCAGGCTACCCAGCCGGTAAGAATTTGCAGTGTATGCTGCAGACGTATTTGACATTTGTTGTACAATCATGCGTGTACACATTTATTTCTTAGTGCATGATTTGTTCAAGGGAAATTGTGCATTGAGCCTAGTAGATGGCGTTAGTTTGTTGCCACATTGAATCATCATTTTTGTTCTGCTTTCATTTGCTTGTATTTAATTAATATGTTATTTTTGTTTCGTCTGATAAGCAACCATTGTCTGCAACAAACTTCTTATATGAACTTGATAAAATGACACAAGAGATAGTCACGGTGAGTAACTCTCAGCTTGAATTCTCAAAGACATGTACCACTGCCAAGCATTGCAACAAGCAGTCTATTCACATACCTGCTCTAACTTAATAAAAACCGGCTCAAGAGGGACGTGAGGGAGGTTTTTTGTTCGTACTCTGCTTGTTCTTTGGTTTAGTGCTTACTTCACTCACACACTTGCTGAATTTAAAAAGAACTGGTGTGAACAGGCCATTTGTGCCTTCCCCAGAACCCAAGGTACTGTAGTTAGTGTTCAGGCGGCAAAAGTTTGTTGCTGCAGAAGAAACCTTCAATTTCTGTAAAAACGTTAATGTTGCTCTACAAAAGTACATGTATATTCAGCTCCACATGAGAAGCTCTAGTGAAGTTATATATCAAGATAAGGGCAGTGAATTATTTCATCCAATACATCGTTCATTGTATATCGAGGAAATACTTTTATTCTCGCAGGCATTGTTGAATTCTCAACGTACATTTGTACCTGGTGATCATGTAACAGTTCCAGGGACGTCCGAAAAAATATCCTTTTGAAACTCCGGACAATTTATAATGCCTGGAGGGAAAGCATTGTGTGCTCCAAGGACCCCTCCCTCATTATCCCCGCCCTCTCTCCCCTGAGAGGCTGAGAATCTCTGTGTCGTTTTTTCCGCGGCATTTCTATGCGACGTAAATTTATGTCTTTATTTGTTTTCCTTGACGATTTTTGCTCTACGTTGTCCTGAATAGAACTGTTAACATGGCGGAATTGAGAAGAATACGTCGGCAGTTTATTACTTACACCAAAATGCACCCTGTAGAAGATACAAAGAAAATTGCGAATATGTTTGTACAATACCTGAACAGTAGCGTCAAATAAATGCTCTTATTTTATGACATCTCAGTCTTTTTGTTAAGTATTTCTAAAGCGGCAAGTCACAGACTATAAAAAAGGTTTTTAACTATACAATTTATACTGACTATTTTTCATTTAGAACCATTCATCAAAAGCGTGGAAAAGTATGTTGTACATGAGGTTATTGAGCCCAAGTACATTGTAAGCACGCTTGTTTGCCTAAAATCTGTTTTGTTTGCTAAAGTAGTGTTGAAGCAGGTAGCTCGTTTTCTTCTTGTGTGCATCAAAAGACCACAGCACGCACAAGAGACAAACAGAACAGGAACACAGGAACGGGACGGAAGTTTCCACTGGACGGAGTTCAGTTTGTTTAGGTTCCGTAGGCGCTAATAGTTGGATTATTGTTCTTTTAAATACTCACTGGAAAATGGAAATACTCCACACAGAGAGCACGAATGAACTGAAACTGAAGCAAGATGAATCATGACATTGAATTAATTTAATAATTATTAAATGGCAGTGAACACTACGTCAAGTTGCCATATATTGGAATAAGAAATTACTGTAGATGTCTTGTCAAGGGCTCCGCTATGGACGGGCCGCTGTTTTGTTTGCTGTCTTGAATTCAGTTTTTATGCCCTCGCGTTTAGAGGTCACTCCATGCTGAGAAATTTGAATAATCTTAGTGCAACGCAATATTTAGAGTGGCATCTTAATCGTCCGTGCCGTTGATAGGGTGTCATTCAGTAAATATTTACCCTGTGTCTAAACTTTCGAAACTAAACCACGCATATTCAACGACTTCAAGGACTTCCTTTGGTGTCACGGAACATAACACTTACAAGGAATATGTATTTCAACTAGACCTGAATGTAAAATCAGCATTCCAAGCTGACATGTCGGAAACTGTTCTCCCCTTAAGACCGTTACTAGCTTGGACTCATTATACTTGTTCTCTACAGTGAAAATAATTCACAAATGATGAGCTCAATGGATGACATTCGAAAATCAAACAAATCTGTACAGACTGTTCTTTTGTGCTTTAACCAAAACTCTCTAAATGTCATATCATGTAAATAGACAGTTGACAACCAACATGAAAAAACGGCACGATCCAATACTAGGAACTATACCTCCTCACAATTTCCCCGACAATTTAATAGTAGTTCATTTCGCGAGCGTGAAACTGAGAAACGAGATTACTTCCAGCAGTAAATCCGTCATGAAATTAATCTGGGTTCTTCTCGTTACTGCACTGGCTCTCTTGCAACCTTTTTCTTCCAACGCAGCCAGAAAAGTCCAGAGAGGAAAATTTGTCGTGAAGCAAATTACTAACAAACTGAAAACAGTTTGCCCCAGCCAGAACAAGAACCTTAGCCAAGTTTTGTCGATCGTAAGTTCGGTCGACTTAACTCTTCGCTTTACACACAGTAGAATCAGTTCTTTGGAGTCTGCCGCCAAGCGTATGAAAAAAGGTAAGCCGGCTTATTTTGTGAAAAACGAGTATAAAATAAAAACTAACATCAATTTGTTTCTCTTTTGTTTCTGTCAGCTAATGCAGTGTTATTGCATCGCTTGGGCAAAATGGACCGCAAATTGGATGGCATAACAAAGATGATTCGAAAAGTCGCGAATGAAGGTTTGAAGTTTTACTTTGTCATTACAATTTTCTTGTTTTCATGTGCGTAAGCAAGTCGGGTAAGAGACAAAAAAGATTCCGTGAGAGTAGGACTTCTTTTGTGGAATTCACGAGTGACTGCCAGTCCCACGCGGTAAAAATATCCCTGTAAAGCTTATAACCTTTGATTTAGCTTGGTACGCCTTAAATGACAGGCTAAAATAGCCCGAAGCTTCTCGGTCTGAAAATAAGTTTTCCATCTCGCGATTAGTGGAGTTGGTGTGCGTCGAAGAGAAAGAATGGGGAGGCTATGTCAACTCGGCAATAATGTAGAGCTACTGCAAAACACTGAAGTACGTCTGGTTATTAATTTTATAGATCTCGGACGAATAAAACTATATTTTCGGATTATTGCTTTAATCGTAACTGTAACAAAATTCTCGATCGTGATTGGTTCTCCGCGCGCTTATTTGTCACGTAATCGGCGCGCGATCACGTGGATGTCCAATTACAGATATCCTGAATTTGAACTTTTTGTAATTGGCTTCCTTCGCAATGTTTCCTACAGTTTTCGTATGAAAAGCGCTACAGACGTGTTCGCTCAAAAGAATTTCTCAAAAGACATTTTTAATTTCGAAATTTGCTATAGATACGATTAATTAATAATTGGACCTCGTGTCGTACAATTCAGGGAGAAATCGTGACAAAAGGAAGGGGGGGATCTGCAGAGGGGGCCAATTTTGACCTGTTTGTGGTTTTCTATTTCAGAGAAGCCGAGGTCTATTGTCATCTGTGAACACAAGAAAGCCAATATAACCTGCAAGAAAGGGGAGAAGATTAACATCGTGCAAGCGAACTATGGCCGACTGAATAAACGCGCCTGTACAAAGTCTCCAATTCGTTCCACCAACTGTCGTGCTGCTAAATCACTTGCTGTCGTGAAGAGCACGTGCCACAAGAAAGCCAGTTGTGCGCTACATGCAAGCAACAAGGTGTTTGGGGATCCATGTAAGGGAATCGTTAAGTATCTTCTTGTCAAGTACAAGTGCGAGCGCTAGGTAAGTTGGAATAAGACATCTTCAATGACTGAGGCAGTTTTACTGATAAACTATCCGCAAGATTGTGGCTGACGAAAGTAAACAATGGGAGGATCTGCATTGACTGAACTTACTGGAATAATGAAAATTTGGCAAAGTATTTATTTAAGATAGATTAGAAATGATTAATATATTTGCGCAATTAAATAAGATGGTTTTGGCTTCCCGTGCAATAAAATCAAGCTTATTTTCCCTCACTTTCGTTTTTCCAGTATAAAGTATTAATAACCGCACCATCATGAATGGCTTTTAACATGGCATTTCTTTCATTATTTTCAGGTTTTTCGACATCTGAGCCTCGCATTGGTGTGAGATCAGTAGCTTCACTTGATCATTATCTCGCCTCTGCTGATTCTTTTCATTTATCAAGTGTTCTTTGGAGATGAAATAAAGTCATGTACACGTAACAATCTGTTTTCTGACTTTTTTGTGGCTTAGTTTCTCATAGCTAGCCTCACTGTTTTCTTGCAGCCTTTTTTTAAGACAAATACAGTGAAGCTACTGGAAAGGCGCCAATCGCCCGAAAATATCAAAACAATAACCTTTCGAAAATAATAGTCCCTCAATCCACTCGAAACACACCTCCAAATCTCAGTCTCCAAAAGTCAGCTTCTATGATAACTTTCCCCACTGGAGCCCACTGTGACCCTCACTTCTAGCTGTCCATGGATTTCTATGCAAACCGCAACCTCCAAAGCCTGTTTCGTGCTTTTCGCCGTCGTCTTTCTAAAGAGAACTTTACCATCGGTTCGCTTACCTCCCCAACGCAAAATTCCAATCGTTTAAATTGGCGTTTTCAAATCCTAAAGATTAGCGGGGTGTTATTCCAATACCAGGATATTCTTTCTGAAGTGGGAATTCATTCATTCATACAACTTCGTCCAACAAGGCCATGCAGGTGAACAATCAGTACTACCTCAAAAACCCAGTGATGGGCGCAGCACTACCCCCTTTCCCCTCCACTGCGAGATCAAAACAAAGGCGTCGTCGGAGCCTTCGATCTTGCTGGTCAGTATCTGGAATGGAGACGTGATTATCACGAGAATCTTAGTGTTTTCCTGCAGTCGGGACTCGAGAGAAACACCGAGATTCAAGTGAAACAAACTTAACCGGTCTCCCGAGGGACCAGTCAACAAATAATTCGACACAATTTAAACTACAGAGCACTTTTTCCGTGTTTACATAGCTTCCTCAAAACACGAGGACGGTTGGGAGAATTCGAGACAGTTATGTAAACCCGAGACGAAGTCGGTTTGCATAACTTCCGAGAAATCTCCCAGCCCCCCGAGTATTTAGACACGGAAAAAGTGCAATGCTTTATAAATTTCTCAAAAATATGCGCGAATCTAAAACGTCACAACCGTATTACATTTTCTTATCTAAACTAGCTCAGTTATTTTATAAAAAGACACATAAAGTAGGTCTGGATTCCAAGTGAAAACTGAGGTCGTCGGTCACACGTGCATTCGACGGTTGTGCCACAAACAGATAGCAATTTTGAGATGTCATGTGATCTCAAGCTCAAGGTAAAACAATTCAAGATGTCACGCAAACTTTGCGAAAAACTTATTTGGAGTCGAGAAATAAAGACAATAAATGAACAAAGAATAACGTCAAACCTCCCAATGCCGAATTATTTGTGTCACGAAAGGTTTTGAAATCAAGATTTCGACCTTTGGGTTGTTTGTATATACTCTATGTGACAGTCACAGCCCGAGCAAGGTCAACACGTTTTTCAAAAGCAGTGTTACTTCTCATATTTCGAAAGTGGTTTGAGTGAAGCGAGGGTTGCTTCGCGGAAAACTTTAAGTCTCTTACTCCGTAATATTCAAACTAGTTGAATTTCAACTACTCTGTGATAACCTGATGGCAGGAATGTTATTCAGGCTTGCTTTTATATCGCTTTTGCCTCAAGGTATGTGCCCCGGGTATGTGTTTACATGCATGTTCATGTATTTTCTGTTTGCTGTCGATATGCCATATTTACTGTTGACGCCATTTTACTAGAGACTGTCCGTGTTTCAAAGTTTAGATCAATGTTTGTTGAATTAAGACTTCTTCGCCGTAGATTTAAAGGTCGCAAGACGATTTATGTCTCTAGTTCGAGCCTGGGATATGGACGTTGGTCAGTACAACCACTTCCCGTTGAACGCAGATGTGAAATGAATCTTCTAGTCAGCTGCCTCTAGTTCTGTATTTAGGGGTTTTCCGACGGTTCTCCACATTTCTGCCATCGCCAAAAGTTAGAAATTCCCAAAATTTTAAAATTAACATTTAATCTTTTCAGGATATCTTGTCTGATACTGAGTAGAAACTACAATATCAAGCAACGCGCGGATATCGTACTAAACTATTCAGTCTACGGTGCTTGTGCTTTTAATGACAGGAGTCTCACTGAAATGATCCCTTCTGGAAGTAAGCAGTAGCTTCGATCCTTTACGAATTGTCACTCAAACATTTTCACAAACGACGAGGACCGGCGAACTATTGATATTCAAACATTTGACAAACAAATGTGAGTCTATAAAACTGATAAAAGCTGACACACTTTTAATTATATCGACTTGTTTGGGTGATAATATTTGATATCAACTTGTTTGGGTAATGATATTATGTTCCAATTCTTTGTATTCTTTGTATCTATAATTGTTTGTTTTTCCACAGCTCTGGGTCTCGACTGTTGGAGTTGCTTCGCGAATACGTCATGGGCAGACTGTGAAGACAACCTGGTATCAAGATTCTGTCACGATGATCCAGGCTGGGTTTGCCAGACAAAAGTTATTATTACAACAGAAAACGGAAAGACGAAGACCACTTATTCGAAGGAGTGTGGGCTGCTTAGCCACTGTGACGCAGCGTTGTGCAACATTGAACATCGTGGTGTCACGATGCGATGTCAGTTAGAGTGCTGTTGTCATGACAACTGCAACACGGGAGTGCTCGTGCAAAATTACGGAGTCGTTCAGTCACTGCACGGTGCGTGCAAAATACTTACCATTATAATGGCATTATATACATTTCGCCGATAAAAGTAAAATATAAAACTTTAAGGTAAAAAGCTGTTAAAATTATGAGTCTTAACGTTTTCGATCTGTTTGATCATCATCAGAGATTACTCTGATGATCAAACAGATCGAAAACGTTAAGAGTCATAATTTTAACAGCTTTTTACCTTAAAGTTTCATATTTATAATGGCATTATACTCAACAATGACTTAATAAGTTATTTCTTCAAAAAACGTTCTTGGCTACCAATATGCAAGCGTATGGACTACGATTATCAGTTTAGTAAGGCGGGACGAAAGTTTGGTCACCAAGTTTTAGCGTAAAACGCGTGCTGTTGTCACTAGCAACTGGCTCCGTATCCATTGGCAACTTGTCGGCCTTTGACGTCATTGGCAGCAAAGCGCGCGAAATTGTAGGCGACACGACAGGCGACCAACGGCTGATGATATTGTTACCAACGGAAACGAGGTAAGTTGCCCGTGACAACACAATAATTTTAAGGACAAAACTTCGTAACCAAACTTCCCTCATGCCTTACTCACCTGATAATCGTAGGAACAATCTACTGACATTTTAGCGTCATACGGTTAAAGACGGACTTTAAAGGAGCTCAGTCACGGTATTTTGGCCGTGTACAAAATTACCTTTGAATTGAGGGAAACTTGAAAATATTAGTTTACTAAGATAGAAAACACCGTAGAGAAAAATAATAAACCATAAAGGAACAAGGATGGCTAAGGATGGAGAAGATTAACAAGGATCGCAAACGACGAAACATTTAGGCTTAACTTCTCAAGCGCAAACCGTGATGTAGCTCCTTTAAACTTTTCACTTTCAGAGGACGACCTTAAAAGTGAACTTTTATCCCAACTATTACATTTTGCGCTCAAGACTCTTCCGGTTTGCCACTGAAAATAATAATAGTAATAATTACGGCTTCCTTTTACAAATTTGAAGTTCTTCTGGAGGAGTGAAGCCTGTTTTTGTGCGCTTTCATCAGTATATACACTAAGCTTACATATTACGAGCTAAGATGAAAGACACTGGCACTGAATAAACTTAAATGCTGTTACGCGTCAAAATCGCGCGCTTTTCAAACTACCGTTGTACATCAGACCTTAATAAAAGTCAGCTTCCTGTATCTGTTGAATTCCAGCTTTGAAATGGGAATCCCCAGAATGGAATTAAAAACACCGCTTGTACGGTTTATATATATATAAAAAACACTTCCAAGTGGACTTTTTAATCCAATTGTATAAACCACAAAGTAATCGAAGTTTTCACAGTGCTGCAAAAAAAGTGCTGAACATTTGAACTCAGAAGTGTTCCAATTCCAATTCGATCGCGCATGGCAACTATATTATTGTCGTCAGAAGAGACGCGAGGACACTGGTTGCTAGAAATGCTTGCGCTCGGAAAGGCAATGTTTTCCAGCAAGAGCATCGCCTTGAGTGTAGGGCGCGAGTGCTCATTTTCAGTTCGTATTAGGCCGCCACCTTGGATTTGGTAACTGAGGAGGGTTGGGGTGAGGAAAACCGCGTGAGGCGGAAAACCCTCTAGCGGTCAAGCATCCAGTTACAATCCAAGATGGCGGTATTGAGAACTTGGTTTATCAGAGCGATCCGTGCTAAAATAACGTCTGCACTGCAGGCTAGCAAGAGCAAAGTCTCCCTTCGTCGCAGCACGTGTTTAGTTGACAGCTCTTTTAGCTGCCAACTTAGAACCGCAAAAAGAGCTCGCTCACACGCTACGTGTAAGCTGGGAATCCACGGCTCGTACCAGGAAAGAAAATCTTTCCGTTTTCTCGATTACGTTTACGTCGTCCCCTTAAACCAGACGCTAAATGCAGTTAGTAGCATCAAGTATGCACCTTAAGCACTTTAAGGCGTTTTCTTTATCAGAGAAAAACAAAGAAACAAACAAAAACTGGAAAAACACTCTAAAAATCCAACGCCAAGCAGCCAAGCCCCGTAGCAAGAGCTGAGAATGTCAACGGTGTCAAGGCGGCCATATTTGTTTTCAACTCGTGAATTGCGCTTACGAGTTGTAGTGGGTGGTCAGGTTATTGTAGCTGTTATCTTGCCGTTTCTTGTTTTCCTGCACTGTATACATCGTTGTAAGATTAACTGATAAAATAGGCTGGTGCAAACGCTTACTCACTCTGTACCCATCTGTATGTCGCGTTCTTTCGCCACACTCGAGAAAGAAACGTGCCCAACTGACGGAGTATTATCAAAGCAGTACAAGCGATAAACAACTTCACTACTATAAAAATACATTTATTTTCAATACCGGTAAATGATCATTAAATACCCTACAGTTAAACATACACTGCAAGCTGTCTCTCTCACCGTCAAAGTTCTGATGATAAGCTACAAATTCTCCTTTACGCGTCTCCCTATATCTTGTCCGAATAGCGAAGCGCGCGAGTGACGTCATAACTCAGACAAACTCAGACAACAAAACGGAATGGTGGAAGATTTGACGCTTTTTTAAGCGCATAAGCAAGTGTTCCTAAAACAATTTTTAAAACGAAAATTTGGCGTTCATTTTCCTCCTATTTCTCTCAGAACATGCTAATGTTGTCTGACTCTCGCGGGATTCCAATAATTTGCATCCTAATTTTAGCCTTCGCGCGCTTCGTTATTGTAATGAAGACTACGACTATTTTATATACGTAAATAATTTTGGTGATCAGTTCCCTAAGCCTTATAACCAGCAAGCGTAAATTTGTACTGACATTTTTGGAGAAATTAATACCTATCGCAAGTCAGTGTTCACCATTCACTTCTTAGCGAGAAATTCAGAACCTAAATTAATTACAGATCAGGCTACCGCAATTCATTAAAATATTGGAAGTGCATTATTTAGCCTACACTGCCTTCGTCACACAATCACAGTATTTTATTACGTGACGATCAAAGTAGAACGTCACGCAATGTTTAAATACATGAACAACAGCGACTTAAAGAATTCCCTCCGGTTACTTTTTATACTTCTCAGTTGTCAGTATTCACAGCACAATCTATTTTCATTTTCCTGTAAAATGAACATGTTTACTAGCATTGTTCTGTTGATAAACAAATATACTCAGAAGATAAACAAGTACAAAAGTACAAATACGAAATACCGTAAATTCAAAAGAAACGACTTCGTTAATAAACAGATTACAAAATATGAAAACGTGATTCCATACAAAAAATTGGACAAAGCGCGCAGAAAAATCAAGAAACGATTTACAACAATTCATGCCTTGTGACTGAATTGCTGTTAGCATGAACCGACAGGGAAATAACGTGAATACCTAACAAAAAGTAATTGCAATGCACTACAAAGATTTGAGAAGCTATGAATTACCCATAAAAAAATAACACATGTAATAAGTGTGGGATCTACCCTGCCTCAAATGAGTGACTATTGTTTTATCGAATGTACCTTATTTCGGTTTCCTACTGAATCAATCCAGCAAAATATCAATTCTTCATAATTTAGTCGAACATTGTTCAAAACAGATACCCCACAGCCTCACCCTAAGATCCTTCCTCATCCCGGTAAGATCTTTTTTTCTTTGTCTTTCGCTACATCGCTTCTTAAGGAAATGGCTAGCGTCAGCAACACAGCGGGAATTTTATAGCAATTCACAAAGAATTGTCTTTGTAATAATCCTAAATAACAAGGACTTAACGTTCGCAAACTTAAGTTGCAAGTATCTTATATAATATCCTAAATGTTAATAATTGTCACGTAATGGGACTGACCTTTTTAATTAATTCCCCAAGACTCCCGTTATATCCTTCAACCAATTCTCAGTTGATTATAATTTATACAATAAATCTTGTTTGTAAACTTCGACGGCCATTAGACCTTCTCTATAATATATTAGATTAAACACGATTTCTTTTACGTCCTTCGCAACTAAACGAAGCAGTCCGATTTATGGGCTACTACCGCACAATAATGTGACAGATCCCAGAAAAGTTTTTTTTCAGAACCAAAGTTAATTTTATACTTGGATGCTTTGGAAACACTTTGACCTCAAACATGGCCCCTCCCTACCGAGGAATCAATTAGCAGAATACGCTTGAAAATCAAACATATTGTGTTGAGAAAATAATACAGCTTGCTTGATTCTTAAACCAAAGACCAGGTGCCCCAATCCGTCACATTAACCAATCATTTTTTACTACGAATTTGATTGGCTGACACAAAATCAACTTCGCTCTGACTGGTCAGATCATGGCACGCCATTATCGATTCAAACCAAAGTTACATCACACACCACGTAACCGATCAATTCTTGACGTAATATCTACACCACCTTCAGAAAATCAAGGTTGAGATTTTCAGGGATGGTCAGAGATTCTAAGGACACTGCCGAGGGAGTGAAGGGTAGTGTAAAGGGGTACATGTAAGCTGTATCGATCATCAGGAACATTGGTTCCGTTTTGTTATGTCCTCGCTCCACCACGGCACGGATTACAGACGAAGGTACTCTAGCCTCGTATTCATTAGCTGGAGTGTACATCGACAGAATCTTTTGAACCTGGAATGAAAATATCATGTATGCTTTTAATCTTTAAAAAGATAACAGTATTGCGCTTGGTTTTGACCAAGGACATTTTAAAGATGATTTCCAGTCCGTCCTGCGCAGTCTGGAGAGTTTGTCTGTTCTATGTTTTGTTTCATGTAAGACATCACAAAATGGAAGGATTTCGCAACTACTTACATGAAGTAAATTCAAAATTTCGAAACAACCGTCACTGTATGGATGCGAAAGATCTATGCTTCGTTCTTTCTCATATTACTTGATGAAACAACTTCACCGCTGTAAAAATCAATGAAGTTGTTGGAAAAGAATTTGAAAGGCCTCAAAGATTGGGTGGTTCGTAACGAATAACATCGATTCGCATTCCATCGAGTGAGATTTATAATGTTTAAAACCATTAGGGTGCTGAGACTGCGCAGTACGGACTGGAAATCATCGCAAAATTTTCATTCGAGGAGAACTGAAGTACATCGAGGATTTCTAAAGATGCCCAACGACCCTTCCAAAGTTGAACTAAAAGTGACCAGGAGACATAACAACTTTTTAAGACTTTCGAACTATAACGGGCGGTTAGGAAATACTTCCGGTAATACCCCGGACCCCATGTATTGATCACACTTGCGTTTACCACTACATTATTAATCTATTTTTCAAAATCTGAACCAGGCTAACTTCCAGATTAAGAGCACCATGACTTTAAATTCCAACCAATCTTACTTGTAGCGTATTAAGAGAACTGCAGACTTCGCAAATCGCATCCACGTCTTCTAGCGTCTTCTTATTGACTTGAAGTAATTGTGTTGCTTGTATGACGTTCTCTAAGGCTTCCACGATACCGCTGCCCTCTAGCTGATTCAAGCGGACCCAGTCCTCTAACTGACTAAGGTTAAATCTGTTCCAAATGAAAACACTTGACTGTGCAAAACTCAATTTGCATTGGTAATTGATAAAAAAGGATTATGCAAATGACAGTGTTCCACCCTATCACTCTACTCGAGGCCGCGAAAGCGACGAGGTCGGCGCCCCACCCCCACCCCCACCCCCACCCCCCAAACCAATGAGTAAGTCTGTCCGCTGTCCGCTTCTATTTTGGTCTGGTCTTAGGCTTGTCCCAGGCCAGAGCGATTCCCCATAACTTATTACCATGTCCTTAATAACAATACTCAGTGTTGAATATTACACTGTGTAAGCCTGGTTTTCGCTCCTCTCAATAATCCCACGTCTCCCAAAAAATACTTCTCACAAGCCGAGCAAATCGTTAACGGTCGAGAGCTCTTTACTCATAACCTGTTGTTTCATGAATAGCTATCAAAGTGTAATGGGAGTTTAGCTATTGGTCTCTAACTAACCTGATCTGCATTCCTCTTGACCAGTGGCACATGTCTTTCCTCAGCAGCAGATTGTTCATCATGTTGGCACCAACGTAATAAAACAGCTGAAAATAGAAGGACAAGAAGAAAATAAATAGAAAATAGAAAGAGGAAGAAACTAACTTATCGTAATCTGTCGTGGCCGTAAATCAGCTAAGTGATGAAAAGAAACCAACAAACAAAATACTAACAAGCACAATAACAATAACGGTAAGAATAGAAACAAGCGCAGCATTAACAACGACCACCACCACCACCACCACCAACAACAACAACAGTAACAACAGAAATGGAAAAAAACAAGGAATGACAAACAGTTAAAAGCAATAATAACAGCAACAACAGCAGCCAACAAGCAAAAGAACAAAAACCAGACTCACCTGTCTGAAAACTTGTTTGATAATTTCAGGATCCACACAATGAGCATTTAGTATAGCAAGAAAATTTGACAGCTGAAATTGTAAAGTTACATACAAAGTTATTTAAACGCACACACTTAGACCATGCTTAAACGCAACCTCGTTCCCAGGGTCTCTCATCCTACCGCCCCCTAGAGCGAGCGAGCCATGGGGCGGTAAGATGAGAGACCCTGGGAACGAGGTTGGCTCAAACGTCGAATTTTTATGAGCCAAACCTAAAAGCAATGAGAAAAAATAACAGCTTCAGCCCATTTGTATTAGACTCAGCTCTTGTGAACCTCGACGTGAAACCGTTGCCCTGTTCGTTGAATGAGTCATCAAAATGAGCATCTCAAAAGAACACTCGGGCGCTACCTGTCCAAAAATGTCCGTTGACTTTCCGGAGATTGCAGGTGACAAATGGCCCAGTTGCTGTGGTAGATGGGAAAATCTTTCCGAGATTTCCAAATCCCACCCAAAACAGAGGCCTGCCTCGCAGAGTTAACCCAAATATTCGAAAATTTCTCCCATGAAATTTCCGCTGCCCCTAATATACT